CCTCCCCGTTCTGGTGGGTGGAAGCTAGAGGGGGCTAGTCCCCACTTCAGCCCCCAGCCCTGCGAAGGCACAGACGTGGCATGGAGGGAGGCTGGAGGCCAGAGGGATGGGCTGAGCGATGGGGAGGATGGGGGGATGACCAGGAGGATGGTCCCCACCCTGCAGGACCATCCAGGGGTCCTTGGATGCTTACTCCATGTACCATCCTCTGCGCTGGCTCCCTACAGCCCCGCTGCTCCCCCCTAGCCCCATAGCCAGGGGGACTGTCCTGTTTGCTAGAGGGAGGGGAAGCGCTCAGCAAGGCCACGTCCATCCAACCTTACCACGGTGCACTGGCCACCTCCAGGTTGCTTACGGGGCGTGGGCATCACGGGAAGTGGCTGCTCACTGGTTGCTCCAAATAGGGTTTTCAGGTCACCTCCCCCCATCAAGGGTTCCCCACAATTTATGTGGTTTCAGAAGCCCTTAAAAATACACCCCAACACTCATTCCTCTTCCTGTCTTCCTCCCTCTCTCCCCAAGCTCTTGAAAGATGACTTCCAGTTCATCCTTTGTGAGGGCTGCCAGCAAGAATCACCCAACCTCAAGCTCCTCACCTGCCTCCACACCTTGTGCCTGGGTTGCCTGAGCGAGAACAAGCCCATCGGGCAGTGCCCCGTGTGCCGGACGGCCATCCCACTAGCCAGTGGCATCCCCGACATGGACAACCTGCTCTTCACCAACCTGCAGGCCAGGCTCAAGCTCTACCAGAAGATCGTTGATGGAGTTGACTTGTTCTGCAACACCTGCAAGAAAGCTGGCAAGTTCTGGTGCTCCAAGTGTGAGGAATTCCTCTGCACCAAGTGCTTCGAGGCCCACCAGCGCTACCTGAAGAGGGAGAGCCACAAAGCCAAGAGTGTGACAGACATCAGGGCAGGATCTGCTAAGGACTTCCTCAGGGACACCAGGAGGACTGGTAACTTGTCCTGCTCCAACCCATCCCACAAGAGCCAGACTGTAAGGTAGGTCTAAAGAGGTCTGTCCCCACCTAGGTGGTTTCTTGTCATTTGTGTCTTTGGGCTAGTCCATCTGGGGACTGAGCAGGGTGTACCTGTCCCTCTGCTGCCCTGATTGCCACCATGCCATGGAGAAGATGGGTGGGAAGCAGTAACCAGTGGGGTCTAGGGCATGGAAAGAGGGCTTGAATGAAGTCGGGTTGGAGATGATGGGAGAGTGGAGACAGGGTACACTGAGGGAGGGGAGTGCTCCTTGCTAGGGTAAGGAGGGTGAAGTCAATGCAGCTCAGCAAGAAAAAGGCCTGTTGCTTCAGCTGCTGTGATGGACAGCAGAGAAGGGTCTGTTTTGCTGATGGTGCTAGACCAGCTTGGAAATGATTTGGGGAGAAGCATGGGTGCAACAGGTTTCAATGCGCTCATGGGAAAGTCCAAGTGAGAAGGGCCTAGAGCATCCATGGAGGTCAGCATTGATGCTAGCCATGATGGCCCAGATGCAACCCCTGCCCCAGCATGTCCCTAGCCCACCCCTTTACAAGGTTACCAGGACTTAGATGAGTGACGGATGATGATGTCCACTCCCCACTTCTTATATTCTTGCCTTAGGCATCTTATGGAGATAAGATACTCTTTGGTCTTATATTCCTGTATATAACCCCAGTAAGTGCCCATGAAAGGGCAGAGAGCTCATTTCTTAACTGCCCTTGCGGTGCCTGGGTGAATGTCTGCCATAACACTTGCACAATCACCGCAGTGACTTTAGACAGCCCAGCAGAGGAGCAAGAACCCTGTGGAGAGACTGAACCAACATATTTTTTTGAAACTGGGAGAGTATAAAACCAAATGACTGGCTCAAACTTGGTGCTAACTTAAATTCAGTGTATGAATGAATTTGCAATTTGATAAATGAAATGAATTGCAAAGTGGATGGTCTTAAATTACTGCTCTGCTTGTGCTTGGCCTTCCAGCATCTACTGCAAGAAGTGC